CTTCAAGTCTGTTCTAAAGCTATTGTTCCTAATGTCATTTTGTAGACAGAAAAATAACCGAGTCTCAGTTTGGGAGGAACAGGCAGTGGCTTGTCTGTTTTGCCTGAGAGTGAGACGTGAATCTTCCCGCCCCCCGAAGAATATATATGACTCATTGAAAAAACCAGTTTGACTTTGCAAAATGGTGCTCTCTGCTGTATTTTCCATTTTAGAGGCTGGTATTCCACTAGCAAATATGTCACAAATTTTTAATTTAATAAAAAGTCCTTTTTCAAAGAGCCAAGAGCTAATGCTGTATTCCTTGCATGTTATAAATGTGTATTAGTGTGACCTGAGAAGTGAAACTCTGGGTACTTTGGAGTGGTGGTGGTGGTGGTTTGGAATATTTTTAAGTGCCAGAAATTGCCAACCAGCTAGTTCAACCAGTTTCTCATGGTGTCATTTAGATCCTTTTGGCTTAAAGTTCGGTGGCCGAACTTGCTTAGTGTAATAGCCAAGTAGAATAAACGTCAGATGCTTGAGAGCCGCAAGACATGGACAGATGTTACACACACATTTTTATTGAAAAATAAGCAAATTTGCTTTTTATTAACATTAAATTAGACTGTGTGAAAGAGCCCCATGTGGCCCCCGAGCCGCAGTTTGGCCACCCCGGGCCTAAACTCATTGCTTAGCTAACTTTTGCTGATGTATTTTGATCTTGGTCTAAGATAGCCAATGAAGAGGAATTACTGTTGTTGTTTCAAAGGAATAAAAGGAGTTTTGTGCCACTTTAAAGACTGATTTCTGATGGCAAACAGTTCTGTGATCCATAGTGCACTTTTCACAATAAAAATTTAACGGCCAAAGCAGACAAAGCTTCGTCTTACCTTCAAAGCTAACATGGCTAACCTTATCACACGGATCCTGGTGGGTGCCATGATACCTGTGGATATCTTTCCTGGCACCTGCCAAGTGTTCTTAAAAAGTGGGCACAGCTAGATGGCGTTTTTGAGTGTTTGATGATTACGATATAATTCAGGCAGTGACTTTTATATAAAGTACTTTACCAATGCAAATTTTTTATCCTTCGACTTGATTTATCCTTCGAGTGAACTGATATTCTAAAAAACATGGTGAGTAGTGATTCTTACTAACAGCTTTTGAGCCAGTTTGGTGTGGTGGTTAGTAGTGCAGACTCCACTCTGGGAGAACCGGGTTTGATTCCCCACTCCTCTACTTGCACTTGCTGGATGACCTTGGGCAAGCCATAGTTCTGGCACAGACTGCTGCACCCAAATGGGATTTACTAGCCCATGGGGTCGCGAAGAGTCGGACTCGACTGTGCGACTGAACAACAACAAAAAGAACAGTATGAAGCAATAGATCAGATTCTCAATTACAAACAGAGGACTGGCTCCCACATAAGACTACTATGGACAGAGGGGGAGCCACAGTCACACATTCCACCCTCATCCTGTCTCTGGGGATCCCCGAGCAGGATTTCAGGGGCATTTTGGACTACAACGTGAGAGGGCAAAGGGAAGGGAATCAACGCTTCATGGACAGAAGTCCCGTCTATTGGCAGAAACCGTCTGTGGGATCCAACCCTTAGCTATGCCCAGAGGGTCATTTGGGGGGGGATCGCGGGGGATTGCAGTTCCCCCGGGTGAGGTACGGGGGGCGGGGCACATGACGGAGCCCCGCCCCCCGCTTCCGGCCACCCCACTTCCGGCCCTCATTCAGCCAGGAGGAGGCAGGAGAAGAGGGAGGGTAAGTTGCTTCCTCCCTGCCTTTCCCCACCCCTGCCTGCCTTGGGCCAGGGAGGGCCTTCGCAGGGCTTCCTTGCACTCCCGCCAGCCTTACTTTGTTCTGTTGCTAACACTACTGTGGTTGGTTGTCTGCATTCATAATTGAAGGGAATGTTACATTTCAGTTAGAAGTTAGTGAATAGAAAGATGTAATTTTTTTTTCCTTCCAGGTTCATGGATGCCCTGAAATCTATCCATGGACCCTTTGGTGTAGTGGTTAAGTGCGTAGACTCTAATCTGGGAGAACCAGGTTTGATTCCCCACTCCTCCACTTGTACCTGGCGGGATGACCTTGGGTAAGCCATAGTTCTGATAAGAGCTGTTCTTGAAAAAAAAGCAGTTTCTGTCAAGAGCTCTCTCAGCCCCACCT